TATGGGCTCTTTTTATTTAGACTAGCACGAAAAACGTTTCAATTTAGATATGTGATGTTTCTGAGTTTTAGTCTTATAAAACGAGAAGAGGAGTAGTAGGAAGATTTAGTGATTACTTGTTTCTAAAGATTCTTCAATAATTAACAAGCAATAATTTCCAGACATATAAATGTAAAGATGAACAGGATGAATAATTGAGATATTTGCAATACAAATCATGGTTCAACTTACATAACGTTCCAGAATTACAATGCTGAAGTAATACAACTACGTGGGTTTAAACGAGATAAACTAAGAAAACTACGCTAATTCTACTCCTAAAAAGCAAAGAAAAGTGGTCAAGAAATTGATACCCAGCAGATGCGTGCACGAAAGCCATATGCGCAGGCAGAGAGTGCTTACAGAAATGTGAGTATGAAATTTCCGACCCCTTGAAAGTACATATTTCTTCGTGTTTATAGAGTCAAATGAAGGTGGTTAATTTTAGTGCATGTGCGTCATGGAAAGGTAACCGCCATCCACTATGCTCAATAGGTGGTTTTAGAATGTAACCTCTCGTAACCGCTCGTTCCACTCTTTTTCTTTCCACTTCGATCCATTTTTCGTTAACCGTTCTGAGATAACTACTCACTACTTGGAAACCTTCAGTAATTTCCATCTTTCGAGCACTTCTCGGTTTGATTCGACTCATTTTTTCGACTGTATTTTGAATACGGACAGCTTGAGCTTTTGATACTTCCTGAAACTCCTGAATGTGCTTTTCGAGTTACCTGGTCTTCGAGTGATCCTAACACCTCCATTTCACTTAATTGTGTTGGTCACATGATTTACCTTTACTTAGAACAAGCGACGATAATATGAAAAAGATTAAAAATGTACTTTTTAACACACTTTATTTGATTGATTTATTAAAATTATAAGTTATAGTAAATTTTACGCCTTATTTAATGAATCTTTAATAATTTTAACTAAAAAATATAATTTTTTAAGAGAAGTGTATGTTAAAGAAATTGTTGTTAGCAACCATATTAATTTAAATTTGAGTTAAAATTATCATAAGACATAAATTAACTAAATAAAATAATTTTAACTTAATTACTAAATACGCAATTGCTTTAATATATGTTAAAAGATTGGGTAATAAATCGTCTCTAGTAAACGATTGACTTGGTTTCATACTATGAATAAATAAATAAAATTGAGTTGAATACTTAACTGGATAAAAACTAGATTAAATGCTGAGGTAATATTTTAACGTGTGAACTAGGAAGCAATACATAAATAAGCTGGCTATCTTAATTCAACCTGACAACTAATTATAAATCGTATTATGAGTGAAGATCGAGATATTTTAAGCAAACATACACAATAACCACCAGCAATTAATTAATGCCAATATGGTTTTTGCGAATTACATGCTTGTCAATTTCTCCATGTAGTTAGTGGTCAATAATAAACAAACATACAAGTGCAAAGTACGGAATATATATGATAACCATGGAAACCCCTTTGTGTCAAGTTATAATAATTAAAACTTGATTTCATAAATGAAGTACTTATCATGATTATTCCCTCAGAAAACGTGCCGGATGATTATTTTAATTTATGCCTACATCTATGTACATAGGTATGGTCATGAGCATTTATGGCACGTGACATGTTATGCTACTTCCTCTCAGGTGGAAAGAAAGTGGAGTCACCAAAGTGGGTTGATGCTTTTCACCATCCCATTAATTGAATGGAAAGATAATTTGCTTGTTATATCATATGTATTATACTCTGTGGTTATGGCAATACTTATTCTGTTAAATTTCTCTACTTATAAATAAACCTTCTCAATTTGTACTCTTCTTATGGATATAATCATATGAAGTGTAACCCTTTAATACCACAAGCACACAAAGGTGGTTATCTAGTCAATAATTATGGTGGTGATGATTTTTTCATTACCTGGTTGTGGCCATTATTGATCACCAAACATTGTCCAAGCTCTATTATGGTGCATTATAAGAGGGAATATATTCCAGAGTCTTCAAAAATATCTGCAGCAAATTTTCTCAACTACTAAAAAAATAAAATATAAAAGCTATGCAATTATTTTGTGGCTGTATGCTTCTATCAATTGATAATGCCTCTATCTAATCGATCATAAACTCGAAAATACTACTTGCACACATATTTGTTTTCGATTTTTTGCCCTAGAAATTTGTCGATTATTCTCCATCACTCTATAACTTCTATAACTAGATTATTCATTCCCCCCTCCTACTTATACGGTATGTCAATAACATTAAATATGAGACAAAATAATTCAACTATAAATGTGAAGATTATTTAACTCTGAAAGAGAGATATGATATATACACTAAAAATAAAAGCTTGTTACATGCATTATGTATGTAAACACACAATATCCACGTACACACGCGTACATGCGCCACACATATTACTAGTAATTAACCAATTTTTTTTTTTTTAATTTCTGTCACGAGAAAACTCTTCACACTAGCGATAATATCATATCACAAGGGTTAAAAAATACCCATGGTAGAGAAAAAGAATATCACAAGGATAAACTTGATGGCTAGCTTGTGACCAGGCAGGGCGCATTAAGGTGGTGGAAGTGGAACATTATGCAGTATTAGGCTATGTTGGTGCACTCCCAATGGAGTGATCTCTGCTCTGCTATGGTACACGGAGTACATTTACCATGCCTCATCCAGAGGAAATGCTAAAGATATAAAAGAGAAAAATTAAAATATAAACACAAAGTGCGTTCAGAGTCTATGGTGATCACCACAGATTGAATATGCTAAAGTGCGGAAAAAGTAGAAACAGTGTAAGACAATATACTTCTACTGCTATGAGGTGTCTTCCACTATACTTCTACTGCCAAGAGTTTTTCAAAACTGAGAAACAAAAGTGCTTTTATTTGCAACCGAGAATGGAGAACCTATATGAGCTTTCATTATATACCATATATCACGTCTGTTCATAAATAATTAATCTCCTACACTTATCATATCTAAATTATAGAATATTACTCAAGCAACATAGAGTCAGCGATTAAAAACTTCACCCATCACCTTCTTAAAGGACTAAAATCTTATTCCGGTGAATATATCTACTATAGTGGTGCTAGAAGTGAAATTCTTTAATAGAAATTTGCTAACTTTCAATTTGACAAGAACAATCTTGAGTCAAACTGAAATTATTGAATTTCAATTAATTATTAAGTAAACACTGATGTTTAATTTTAAATTTTTAATATATATTATTAGTTCCCTACTCATTAATCTTGAGAGTATCATCTCTTAATTATCATTTTATGTATAAAAAAATTATATAAAAAAAACTTCACCCATCTTTTAAAGTGATTGATTTGATAAATAGTTTATACAATTAAATAACTCGAGTGGTTTGTATTTTTATTTTATGATGAATTCTGACACCGTTGGATTATTAAAGAAGAAAAAAGTAACTAGGATCGAGAATTAGATTTTTAAAATTTTTGCAGGATTTAAAAAAGCAATATAAAGAGACAAAGTGAAACGAAAGAACTTTGTACAAGAAATAATAATTGTTTGCAACAAGTTATTGCCGTTAATTATTATATGGGTTTTAACTACAGGGACCTACACACCGGCTTCCACGAACAATGACATACTAAGATACAGATAAGCAGAAAATCCCGTGTCATAAATTCCATTGAATCAATAAGGACTTGTCAGTTTCATTAAAAGCTTTACCTTACTATCACTGATGTTGTATAAGACGAAATACAATAGTTGAAAATGATAGTAAGTCACAAATTATTATATATGAGTGGCCAAGTCCTTAATTACAACCTGATGTTAACTTCCTAGGGACCCTCTAACCCTAACCTTTAGATGTCACTGTTTTTCCAATGAGATTGAAGACAATAATGAATTGGATTAAGTTTAAGCCTCTCCTACCATGATATCCATTTTTAATATAGCATTATTCATATTTGAAAGTGTTTTAAAACTTTAACTTAAAATTTAGGTCCTACACCTACTTAACTCCTTAGTCCTTACATATATATTATATTCTTTTTATAACAAAAAGATTACAGCTAGCTACCATCATCATACATAAACTTTACCGCATTCTTACCACTAAAGCTGTACTCCAATATCATTTTTCCAGATTTTACCATTCAAGTGGATGAGTTCTTATCTTACCTTCCTGATATGTCACAGAAGCCAAGTGTCACAAGCCACCAGTTTTTTGCATTTCAAAGCTTGTGGGCAACTTGCAATGCGTAACACACTATCCACACACGTATAGAATGCACCATCACTATCAGTTTTTGTCGCATAGCACCAATATATTTATTTTCTTTATTGAGAGGGTCCATGGCTTTTCCACCTTATAGAGTTCAAACCCATTTTTGAAAGCAGATATGTCTTTGTACTCTAACCGTACAAATAGCTAATGTTTATTGCATTAAAATATATATTATTCTCCATGTTTTCAATCGGGTGCTTTCTCATCCCTCACTCTATAAATAAACATAGAAGGTGGCTGGTTGGAACCAAATTAAGCATTAAGTGCCTTGTTACATATTTTGTTAGTTCATAATATCTCCGTGCTTTGTGACTCGATCATTTTCTTAGTTCAAAGAGAGATGGCATCTCCAAACACAAACCAAGAGAAAGAAGGGGTAGTCGGTCGAGTATTGGCCTTGCCAAAGGTTGTTAAGGAGAAGGTGTTGGGCATTTCTAGGTTAACAAAAGAGATAGCACAAGATGATCCTAGAAAAGTGATTCATTCAGTAAAAGTTGGTCTTTCAATTTCGATGGTTTCTCTATTCTATTACTACCAACCATTATATGAAAATTTTGGTCTTTCAGCAATGTGGGCTGTGATGACTGTAGTGGTGGTTTTTGAGTACACAGTCGGTATGTATGTTTATGTATGCATATTTTAATTAATTCATTATCATACTAATTTATTTGTTTTTTTATCTAACTAATTAATATGTATATATTTATGTGACACGTTTTTAGGAGCCACTCTAGGAAAAGGTTTGAATAGGACAATTGCAACGTTTGGAGCTGGTGCTCTTGGTGTTGGGGCTCATCACTTAGCTAGCCTATCTGGAGCAACAGCGGAACCCATATTGATTGGCGCGTTTGTCTTCGTGTTAGGTGAAAAAAAAATTGCTATATATATAAGTCAATAGTAATAAAATATAATAATACTTTAAAAAAAATAAAAGGCCAAAAGAATAAAGCCCTAGTTATTTTTAGATTGTATAACTATTTTGATTGTTATTGTGTTTTTTTTTTTCAGCTGCCATAGCATCATTTATAAGGTTTTTTCCGAAAGTGAAGGCAAGATATGATTACGGGATGCTTATATTCATCTTGACATTTTCTTTGATATCCGTTTCTGGTTTTCGAGACGACGAGGTATTGGAAATGGCACACAAGAGGTTATCAACTATTATTATAGGCGGGTCAGCTTGTGGGATGATTTCCATTTTTGTTTGTCCTGTGTGGGCTGGTGAAGAGTTCCATTATTCCACTGCTAACAAGTTGGAAATACTCAGCAACTTCTTGGAAGGTTAGATTTTCATGGATAAAATCATAAATTGCATTTTTTATTATTCATAGAAATTACAATAATGAAACCCAAGATTTTGCACATATTGTCCTAACTTCCTTTTGCTACTAATTAAATTGACTCTAGTAATTCATTCATAAATTACATTTGCCCAAAGCTATGAATGACTATGTTTATAATATGAAAATGGAAAACTTAAGTCATATATAACTTGTTATATTTTACAGCTTTTGTGCGGGAATACTTCAAAATATCAAAAGAAGGAGAATCTGAAGATAATATAGGAGATTCTAAAGATAAGGCATATTTAGAAGGTTACAAAAAAGTTATTAATTCTAAAAGTAGCGATGACTCTCTGGTGAGTGGATTTTGTATATACTCATCAGTTCTTCACCTAAATGAAAATCTCATGCACATGTCTCATGTAATTTTCTTCATTATGTAGGTCAATTTTGCAAGATGGGAGCCAGGTCATGGAAAGTTCAAATTTCGTCATCCTTGGGACCTATACCTCCAAATTGGTGCCTTTTCTCGCCAATGTGCATATCGAATGGAAGCTCTAAATGCACACCTTAGTTCTGACATCCAAGTATACATCTATTCATCATGAATATTATTTAACTTCCTACGTCGACAAGTAAAATATCATTAAATAGTAATGGCATGTGAAGGAGAAATTATGTTATAAAACTACTACAATATATTTAAAGTCTCAATTAATCTCCATGTAGATTAAGATTTTTAATTTATAAGAAAGAGTTAATAACACTAATTACATGTTATGTGACGATTGGGTGTGATTATGATTATCTTGGACCATATAATAATTATTTTGTCTACATTGGCAAAACAAGCAAATAATTTGATTCAACTATTATCATTCTCATTTCTAGAATTATAAAATGAGTTTGCATGTATTTGAATATAAACTTTATTATGGACCATGATTACATATATATTGACATTGTTAATTGCTACAACCTTTGTAGGGATCCCTTGAAATTCATTGCACCATCCAAGAGCTATGCTTGGAAATGAGTTTGGAATCTAGCAAAGCTTTGAAGGAACTAGGATCATCAATCAAAACAATGACTAGGTCATCTTCTTCAAATAGACATGTTGCAAATGCAAAAGTTATAGTGAAGAGCCTCAAGTCATTATTCCAATCAAGCTCATGGAATGAAACAGACCTTTTATCACTTATACCAGTTGTGACAGTGGCCTCACTACTTATTGATATTGTCGAATTCACAGAGAAAATAGCAGATTCAGTTAATGATCTTTCCACCCTTACACATTTTCGTATTGAAGATATAGATAAATCTCCAAAACCAAAACCATCACAATCTTCAAATTGTGAATGCATTGAATCGAGTCCTAAGACTGATAGCCTCCAACTTGTTATTCTTGTTGAGGAGTCAATGCTAGCTCTGTCAGAGAGTGAAAAATCAAACATAGTTTGACAATACATAAAGGAATGTAACAATCATCATTGCTTCAAAATTGAATTAAAATTATTCACAATAAACTAATAGTGCATTACATTATAGTGAGCATTCAGAAGAGATATACCCTGGTGTTTCTTAGACCATGAAGGGTATCTTGTGTACAATAATGTAAAAATCGTATTGTGAATTTCAATAGATTAGAGACAAACACTCTCATTTTACTTTTCTTGTGTGACATTAACATCATGTTAATATATTTTTTGTACTCTAAATTTGAAACTGTTAATCAATCTCTATTTTACTTAATTATTTGGTCCATAATAATATCCTTTTCTTAAAACATACCATAATAATAAAAAAAATGTTATGAATATACTCTTTAACACATTTTTCTCAACACACTCTCTATGATTGTTTAAGATAGTATATTTATAACTTTGTATGTATAACATTATAATTTATGTTGATATTTCTATCACTAGAAAAAAATACATATAATGACATACATATCTATAATGACACAATATTTGTCATTAAGAATTACTTTTATCTATACTATAGATACAATATTTATTAGTATATGAAAATTCCTCATAGTTTTCAATCATCTAATCCTAATATGGTGTGTCGTCTTCGAAAATCATTATACGATTTGTAGCAAGCACCTCAATTTTGGTTTGCCAAGCTTGTCATTGCTTTGAAAGAGTATGGTTTCTTACAATCATGTGTTGATTATTCATTCTTTACTTTTTCTAAGAGTGCAATTCAAATAAATGTCTTTATGTATGTTGACGATTTAATTATTTCTGGGAATGACGTCATTGCTTTAACAAATTTTAAGACCTATATCAACACTTGTTTCCATATGAAGGATCTCAGGGTACTTAATATTTTCTTGGTAACGAGGTGGTATGTATTCCCAAGGAAAATTTTCTTTATCAATAAAAATATTCTCTTGACATCATCTCTAAGACTAGGCTTTTGGGTGCCAAGCCTATCTCCTTTCTCATTGAACAAAATCATCGACTAGTACATGCTTCTAAGGTTCCTTTGTCTAAATCAAAATCTTATAGGCACTTAATTGGTTGTCTAATTTACTTGTTTGTCACTCGTCCTAATTTGGCATACTCTTTCATATCTTATCACTGTTTCTAAAAAAACTAAGGCAAGAACATTTGGAGACAACCTTGCATGTGGTTCTTTTTTTTAAGGGCTCTTTTGGACAGGACATCTTACTACGAGCTAATAACTCTCTCTTTAATAGGTTAGTGTGATTTAGATTGGGTCGTATGTCCTCTAACTCATCGTTCTCTCACGGGTTGGCTTGTGTTCCTTGGTCATTCTCCAACTTCCTTGAAAACCAAGAAACAACAAACAATAGCTCGTTCTTTAATTAGTAGAGGTTGAATATTGCTTTATAACTTCTATTACTTGCGAGTTGAAATGATTGAAGGGTCTTTTCCTAATTAGGCATTCAACACCACCGTTACTATTGGTCTATATTGAGATAGTTAGTTGGCTTTACATATTGCATATAATCCTATTTTTCATGAACAAACAAGACACATTAAAGTAAATTGTCATTTTGTTCATGAAGTTATCCAAGATGATACCATTCTTCCTTCTTGTGTTCCTATTACAGTTCAATTGACCAACACATTTTTACCAATTTCTTGGGTATACGAGAATTTGAGTTCTTTCTATTCAAGTTGGACATCCTTGATCCACATGCTCCAACTGGAGGGGTTATTAGGATATTCTCATGTACTACCATATATTATCATCATGTATATAATATTATGATATTTAGGCTTGATATATATATATTTTCTCATATAAAATTTAAATATATCCTCATCTTTTCTATAAATTATTGGGACATATCAATATATGGGACAAGGATTTGTACTCTAATACCTATTTTTCATAGTATCAAGAGTTGCATGGCTAAGATACACAATTGATCACCATTTTGTTTGTTGAAGACAATGCTACACCACCTTTACCTTCCATGTTCGCTAAAATTCAAATTTCTAGCAATCATGCACAGTGAATTCTCTAAAAACTTCTTGTATTATTGATATTGAGGCCTCTTATGATAATATATGAGACTATCCCAACACATCCTTACCTACCATTTTGATGTATCAAATAAAAATAATGACTATATACCTTAAAAGTTATACTAATAGTAATTTTTAATTTGTTAACTATGTAAAACTATTTATATTGACAGTGTTTGACCATTAAACCTTTGAAGGATCCATTATGATGAGTTTTGTGTCACTCTTTCTCTCTCTAAAACATAACATTTTTCCTTTTTATACGAAATTATATCTCTATTATAAACTTTTAGTTCTTTTATGTCTTTATGATGTCACATCTTAGACTTTTTCGACCTTCACTCACTTACGCAGTCAAACTACCTTGCTTAACCAAGCTTTCAAATCACCTCCAAACAATTGCTCTAATATCTCCATGACTCTTTTGACTAGTTTTTCTTTTCTATGTTCTTCCTATCTCTAACAACATCAAAGATATCAAATAAATTAAAAAAATAATGTGTAAATAAACTAATGTTGTGAGTATCAACTATAAACACACAAGTGCAAAGTACGGAAGGTGAAAACCATGGAAACCCCTTTTGGGTCAAGTTATCATAAATAAAAACTTGATTTCATTAATTAAGCACTTATCATGGTTATTCTCTCTGAAACCCAGGGTGATTATTTTAATTCTGCCTACATGGACATACTAGGTATGGTCATGAGTATCTATGGCACATGTCATGTTACTTCCTCTCAGGATGAAAGAAAGTGGAGTCACCTTAGTGGGTTGATGCTTTTCACCACCCCATTAATTGAATGAAAAGATAATTTGCTTTCACCAACCAATAGTGTCATATCATATGTATTATACTGTGTGGTTATGGCAATACTTGTTCTCTTAAATTTCCGTACAAAATATAAACTCCTCAATATTTATTCTTCTTATACATACCACATGCACAGAGGTGATTAATTATCTAGTCCATTAGTTATGTTGGTGATGATTTTTTCATTACCTGCATAGTTGTGGCCATTATTCATGCAACATTACCCAATCTCTACATTGGTGCATCATAAAAGGGGAAATATTCTAGAGTCTTCAAAAATATGCGTGGCAAATTTTTCCAACGATTACAAATATAAAATATAAAAGCTTCTACAAATATTTTTGGCTGTATGCTTCTATCAATTGAGAATTTGAGATAACCTGTACTTAAAAAATACTACTTGCACATATGATTTTTTTCTTCTGGTAATATAGGTCGATTATTCTCCAACTCTCTATAATTCTTATAACTAGATCACCCAATTTTTTACCCTTTTTATTCGGTATCTCAATAACATTTAAATAGGAGACAAAATTCTCAACAATAAATGTAAAAAAATATTAATTAGACACTAAAAGAGTACAGATATGTACATTAAGAATTTCTTTTCTCTGCTATTCATCAAAAAATATATATATACATTAAGATGAAAAAAAAAAACTTGTCAAATGAACTAATAGGCACACACATGTCACAAGTAAACAGGTAATATAGCGTTCTTCACCTTTGACCATCATACATATGGATATTTATAATTTCCATAGTTTTTTCAAAATTTATAATTAATAATAATGGGTATTTTATTTGATAGCTAAATATTTATTGCATATTAAAATTAGTATTTTAATAAAAATATATAATTGAATATTCAAAATAATCATTGTTTCATTTTTAAAGATAAATATATTGATAATATTTTAAAATGTAACACGGATATTTATATCTAAATTTAATAATTATTTTATTTTATCTTATTTAATTGTCATTGGATGTACTTTTTAACTTTATAATCATAAATATTTATGTTTACTTTGACATGTTAAATGTTTTGATGATTTGAATTTTAATTGTATAAGATATCATTTTTATGTATTTATCAACTTTGTATAAAATTATAATTTATGTTGATATATTGTGTGGTTTTCTTATAACATAAAATTTCTATTTAATTATTCTTTATTTGCCTATTAAAATACTTTAACTTAAGTATTATTTTAATTCATCAGAATATGAATTTTATATTATAATTTCAATTAAAACTATCTTATATAGGTATAATTTTTCTTAAAATGTTTTATATTAAGGTAATTTTGTATATAAATTTAAAATATAGTTTAAATGGAACATGATTCATAGATTAAATAAAGCTAGTATAAATTTATTTTACAATTTATATGACATTTTTATATTATTTAATATCTCAAGCATGATCATTTCTGAAATGGCCAGGAAAACTCAAAGATTTATGTTATTAGTTTGATTAACTTTTAAATATCTCAAAAATATTAAATCAGATTTAAATTATAAAATAATCTATATGTTTACTATGTAAAACTTTTACATACTCTCATCTAATTAGGGATGTGAACTAGTTAGGCAGGGCAGATTCAGATAGTAACCTCTTGTGATCTGTCCTATGGATTAATATTAATCATGTTTTCATTACTCATATTTGTGCAGGTATTTGTTAAGTGGATATTCATGAATTTTTTTAAATGTCCACAAGTATTTTTAAATATTTATTTTATAAAAAATTCAAAAATATTTTAATAATAATTTTTATTTATTCCAATAATTTCTTTAAAAAATAATTATTTAAAAGTTAAAACTTAAATTATTCAAATATTATACATTATCTTATTATTTTAAAAATTTAATTTAATTGTTAAAATATTTTATTTTTAAAATTTTTAAAAAAATTAACATGTAATTATGTAATCGAATATTAGCGAGTACAGATACTATGATGCTTACACTCACTCTGTTAACATATAGATATAGAGAATACTCATACCCATTATTTGCATATATTTATTTACAATATTCATTTTCTATTCATAGTGAATTTTATCCACGAAAACGGATTTTTTTTACATCCTTACATTTTATTTGAAATTATTTTTTATAATACATTATTTTTTTATAAAAATCATACATAATCTAATTTGTGATTAGTTAGTTAACTGAGTAACTCAGCCATTAAGATCTCTCTCTCTTGGAGCGAAAAAAGAGAAGAAAAAAAAAACTCAAAACTTACCCGAAAATTAATTCCTCATCAAATTAGAACTAAATTCATCATGCCTAATAAGTTATAAAGAAACAAAATATAACTGGTGACTTTAGTGATC